TACCTAGTAAGAGCTTGATTAGCTGGTTCAGGTGTGTTTGATTATCGTTGGAGCTAAACTCTGCAGGACACCTGCCCTGCAGGAGTGAGTTTGGTGACCCCTGCCTTATCGTCTGTCAGCAGCATTTATCCATGATGGTCAATTAAATTATAATACTGCCTTATCCACCTTATCTTGCAACGTGGAAGGTAAATGATGACTAAATGACTAAAAGAATAACATAGTGCAGTAAACTGAAAAAACTATTTGCATTACAAACCTGATGACTGCTGAACATCATAATATTGGGAAGATGCCAATTCCATTATTACACATTACAGTTGCTATGATCCATTTAATTCTTACAGTGGTACAGCCCCCCATAATTATGCAGGTCAAAGACAAGCAGGAGGTAAAAGTCAAGCGTATCCCACTGTTAATATGCAGCTACAGGCATCACCAGGGGAACTTGTGGAAGTTCACACTTTGCACTTGGACAGGCCTATACAGGCCACAGATGACCGGTTGCCATGGAAACGTCTGTGCCCTTTGAAATCAGGTTATTCAAAATATTCCACTCCAACTTGATATAAATTATACATTTTAGCCTAGATTTCAAACATGAAATAATAATTTCATTCAGGGGAGACATACCAAGCAATTTAACTACACTCACATGATCAAAATGCTTCATAATTTCTGCCTCTTTGAGGGAGGACTCCAGATCTTCTTTACTGGGGACTACATCTACAATTCAACAGGATATTTAATGGCATTACAGCAAGAAAGCGGTTGATTTAATTAACTGTGTAAATTGCATTGTCTCAAGCTAGTACTTAATTCTAGATTAAGATCATACTTTTTAACTTATCAGAATCGTATATTTTACTGTCACTTGCTCTCTGCATTATATACACTATATAGCTTGAAATGTTTTTACTGCCACTCTGATGTCTTGTCCTCTTTGAGGGGAAAATATGCCCTCGTAGACGACCCCAAATTCTCCTGCAGATTTGCAGAATGCAAAATGACAATCAAAATACTGTTTTCAGTCAAATTATTCCTTATTAAATTATACCTTTTTTAAAATTACTTAATATAATTTTAAAACAGCTATTAAATGATCACTTCATGTATGGGTAACATATGCATACAATTTCCAAATACCAATTTAGGTTATGCATGCTTATATTCATATACATCTATATAAAATTTCCTATTTATTATTTAAAAAATGTATATTAAGTACACAATTTTGTCTAAAATGTATTTGAATGTACTGTGTATGGGAAAGCGTACACTACCAATCAAAAGTTTGGATCGGTATAATCTTTTTTTGTTGTTGTTTTCTATTTGAATATGTTTTAATTTTATGGAATATATTTTTACATTTGATATTGTTTTAAAATTGTATATTTTAAAAGAGATTTTTTTGTAAACAT